TAACGCACCCGAGGCTGCTTTCCATCCGGAGGCAGCTGCTGAGGAATGCACATTTATAACTGGCAAGCTCAGAGGGTAAAGACCGCATGAAAATGGGAGACCCGAAGGAGGCCAAGAGGAGAGGGGGGAAGGAGAAGGAAGCACACGGGCAGTGGACAAGCAACAGCCCACGATTCAGCCACCGTTCAGGGTGCAGAGCGGGGTTCCCACGAGAAAGCAAGGCCGAGGGACTGGTCGGAGGGAGACGCCCTTAATCCTGGGGCCTGGGGGCGCTGCAAAGAGAGAGTTGGAGCCACTGTGCTGGGTTGCAGGGGCCTGGCCAGGGCTCCGAGGAGCTGGGGGCTCTGAAGTGAAGCAGCTGTCCTAGCTAAGCAAACCTGAAGCTGACAGCAGATCTCAAGAGAGTGGACAGGGGTGCAGCCGTGCATTCCTCTACTCCCGACTGAGTTGTAGAGCCTTGCTCATCATGCATGAGGCCCTGGGTTCAGTGCCGAGCACCAAAGGGCAGGGTCGGGGAGATAAATGAATCTGAGAAGTACGAGCAAATTAGCTGGCTGGTCAGACACAGATGAACATAAAATTGGTGAACTGGGAGAGAGATTAAAGAAGTCGCCCGGATTCGGCAGAAAGAGGCGAGGAGCACCCTTGCTGAGTAGGGTAGCTATATGGTTGACTTTGGCTGTATCAAGGCGCCTGGCTCGGGAGCTGCCCAGGGGATTAGTGCAGCAGGCCGGGAGGTCATGCACGCATGGCCTTGGATATTGTCCACGGTCCCTCATCCCTTCCTCTCTGGCTCTGTTCCTCTGCTCTGTTTCCCAGCTACTGTGAACTGAGGAGCACCACGCCCTTCCGCCACAATGCTACTCTCTTGCAGCCAGCTGACCAGGGACTGAATCCCCTGAACCATGAGCCAAATGAAACCTCTGTTGTGGGTGTCAAGTATTGTGTCTTAGCATCGGGAAAGCTGAATCATACAGCATCCTAGGGAATAAAAAGGCCTTTTGTGGATAACTGGGGCCTAAAACAAGAAAGCAAATTAAACAGGCTGGGCATGTTGGTGACACCCATAATCCCAGGTGTCGGGAAACTGATCAGGAGGACTGAGAGTTCAAAACCAGCCTGGGCAACTGAGTGAGGCCACATCTCAGAATAAAATAAAAAGGACTCGGGGTATAACTGAGAGCTTCCTGGATTCAACCCTCACTACCACAAAAGAAGAAAGAGAGAGAGGGAGGGAAAGACAGAGATGGACGGAGGGAGGAAAGGAGGGAGACAGAGCCAGCATAGCACCACAGGCCTGTTATCCCAGCGCTCTGGGAGCCTGAAGCAGGAAAATCAAAAGCTCAACCCATCCTGCGCAACTTAGTGACTTAAGGAGACTCTGCTTCAAAACTTTAAAGATTATTAAAAGGTCTGGGATGCTGCTCAATGCGAAGGCCATGGGTTCAGTCCCCAGTATCACACACATAATGAAAGAGAGAAAGAGAAAGAAAGAAAAAGAAAGAAAGAAAGAAAGAAAGAAAGAAAGAAAGAAAGAAAGAAAGAGAAAGAGGCTGAGAAAGAGCTGAGCTGAGGTAGCAGTGCAGGCACAGTGGCAGGGAGGATGCTGTGTGTTAGACCCTCGCTACGCAGTGACTGTGAGCAGAGGACCCGAGCAGACCCGCGCCTGCATACATCTGTTGGCACTGGAAATGTTCAGAGGTCTTCTGCAGAAGCATCTAGACAGTAAAGAAAGAGTAATGCAGCCAAATAAACTGGCATCTAAACCACAAGAACGGAAGTCACAAGAAGCAATATTTCCAAAGGCCTGAGAGAAATAACTCTCAACCAGGAATTCATCATGCCATGAAACTATCTTCCCAAATGAGAGTAAAGCAAAATCATTGTAGTTAAGAAACTAAGACTTCCACTTCCAGCTGCAATGGAGGCACTGGCTGCAGATTTACTCTCACACCTCGAGTAACTAGAAACCAAATATAAACAAATATTTTTTAGACATTGGACAACAGGCAGAGGGGAACGAAGACTACTAAGAGGAATCTCAGAGAGAACCTCTGGGCCCAGCAGACACTGCATGGAGACAGAGTTGGAACTCTGAGGAGGCCACAGCAGTTGGAGATGCATGGCTGAGGTCCAGGGAAGGAAGGAAAGACAGAGGCAGGCAGAGACTGGGTGAGGTGGGGAGAGAGAGATCTCCAGGGAATTTCAAGAAAATCTCCTCCAGTCTTTGACTAAGTACTGGCCTGTACAGATGAAATAACACAGGAACTTCTGGTTTTGAGCACAGTGTAGAGAAAACATAAAGAGTCAGGACTTGGTTGGGTTCAAAGCATTTGTGGTCCAAGTTTTTCAGACATCAAAATGTCCTCAAAGTAAGCATAGACCCCTGAGGGAGACCCAGTCATGGTGTTTCAAGTCCACCGCGGCCTCCACCGTGGCCTCAGGCCAAGTCTGGATTTGGTTTGTGACCTTCCTGCCTTCTCTGAGATTTCCCAAGGCTCTGAGGTGTCCCCACTGACTCTGTGTGGTGTTAAGAGACACATCGGTGCCTTTTGTCTAATGGCGAGAGCCCCCCCCCCCCGTTAGATGCGCAAGAAGCCCACTGAGAGAGCATTGTTCGTTCCATGAATGAAGGGAAGAGCCAAACCACGGGGGTGCTCAGGTGAGTGTGTGACCTCCCATCCTGGTCAGGAGGGGAGACTTGGAGGGTGGAGTCAGAGCCCAGAGGGAGAGGCAAGAACCAAGCCCCAGCCCTCAGCCCAGCCGGTGCCTGCTCTGCTGCAGAGCCGAGACCTGGCAGCTGGGGCTCAGGCGTGTGTCCACCTGGGCTTGGCTTTCCTACTCCCCTCTGTTACCCCAGAGCCTCCTCACTCCGAGCTGGCCACGGGCAGCAGACAGTAACCCTGCTGCTTTCGGATCCCTCAGTGGGACAGCAGGCACTTGAGGAAGCCCAGACCTGGCACAAGATGAGACCCTGGGGTGGGAACTGACACCCGTGTGGGGCTGGACAAGCAACCTCAGCAGGGGAGGGGCCGTGGTGCTTGTGCAGTGGACTGTGACGTGTGGTGGCCCGGCAATGCGTCCCTTCCACATCTTCATTGTGAGCGGTGACCCTCACTGAGAGCTCTGTCCACTTCTTCAACCCCCGGACGGTCACTAGAGGCCAGGGTGAAGCAAGTGCCAGCCAGGCGGAGAAGCACCAGAGGGTGAGCGAGGGGCCCAGGGGAGCCTGGTCTGGGAGGGGTACGTCAGCTACCAGAACACCGAGGAGCAGAGCAGGCCAGCGGCAGCGTCTGCCTGGTCCCCTGCAGGCACGTGTCTGGCACAGTCTGAAGGATCAGGCCTTGCCCTGGTGTAGGGCTCCAACAGCCCCCAGTGTCCTAGCTCCCTGCGTGTGGCCTTCAGGAGAGCGGGGAGGCTCTTCTGAAGGGAACCAGGCCCTGGGGTGGCAGATGGAACCTCAGAAGAGGGGACCTGGGCAGCAGTTGGGGCAGGAAGGGCCTGTGCCACCAGGGAGCTCCCTGAAGGCCGTAGCACTCAGCTCAGCAACTTCCGCGCTGGGCTGGGGAGGGTGGGGGCCCAGGCAGTGGGCTTCTGCCTCGGTCTCCCCAGGCATCCTCTCACTGGTCCCCCTGCCTATTCCTGCCCTTCGTGTGCGGCTCTGGAGTCTGCGTATAAGCAGCTGCAGCAAAACCCCCTCGGGCTCTCAGCTCCAGTTTTGGTTAAGGGGACACTCGGGGTGCATTGCACACACAAGTGTGTATAGGGAGCACACGTGTGTATACCCGTGAGTGCTCAGCCCCTGCACGTTAATGAGCATCACTCACTATACCAAGCACTGACCCTGAGGCAGTGGGAGGGTCCCCGTGTGCTGAGCAGGCAGCTGAGAGCCGTGTCCCCTGACAGGCATCCTCCTCGCCTGTGCCTGGAGCCCCGGGGCCATCTCTGCATCACCGTGTCCCAGCCTGGGCTCCCTCTCCACAAGGACAGCAGAAAACAACTTAGAGAGAGCAGAGAGAAGTGGATCTGTGTGTTAAAGTGCAAGGCGCATTCTAGACGCAAAGCCTGGCCAGCAGGATGGAAGTGAGGTCAGCGGGAGCTGGAGTCCCCAAGAGGGGTGTGAGCCCAGTGTTAGTCCTGGCCGTTTGCACAGTCCAGTGTCAGGAAGATGCAGTCCTGTCGACTGTATTAAAAGAGAGGTGACCGGGCCTCCAGGCCCGGCTTCCTGCGCAGCTCGGGGAGAGTGAGCACCAGGAGTTGAAAGCTGCCCCAGTTCTCATCCATGCAAAGGCCTGAAGGGAAGCCGGGACACCTAGCAGAGAATAAAAAGCAGAAGGCTGAGCAGTCCCTGCAGGGTGCCTCTTCTACATCCCTCCGGGCACCTGCACCCCATGTGCTTCTGTCGCAGCATTTCCTAAGGGATCCGCAGCAAGCTGCTCCGCGGTGTCCCAGAGCAGGGAGCCGAATCCCCCCTCCTCCCCTGGCGCTGCCTGCACACAGGCTGCCTTTGTGCTGTGCGCGTGCGTCGTTTTGCTGAGACACGCAGACACTAGCACAGAAGAGGGGGAACAGAGCGAAGGGCAGGGTTCTCTAAACCAAGCTGCGGAATCTCCACGACTGTCCAGAATCAGCTCATCAGTGGAGAGAGGCCTGAGGACCAAGGGATGCGAGCAGGGACTCCCGGGGCGACGGCGGGGTGAACCCGGCCAGACACAGGAAGCGCAGGCCAGGGAATCAGGAGAGGAGCCTGCGGCCAGAGTGGAAACACCATACTTTGCTCTAACCAGGCAGCACCTCAAAACACCAGGAGTGCTTGGAAGATCAAGGTGGCTGGATCGCACTGATTTGAAAGGGTCTCTTCGGGGTGCTATCTCCCAAGCCGGTCAGGAGACAGAGCATGATGCCACTGATGTCCCAGGCGTGTCTGTGCATGCGCACCCACACACACTCACACACACATCCTGTTCATTTTGTGAAGGTTACACAAGGTTACAATGCTGTGAGGCAGAGCAGAAACTTACTTTATTCTTTTCGTCGTGTTACTCCTGTATCATGTTTCAATTTTATCATGCACAGAGATTATCTAGTTTTACATCAATTTTTAAAAAGAAAAGGCGAAAAGAAAAGCCTTTAAAAAATCTGATTGATTAACTCTCGTGAAAGGTACCCAGCTGGTTTCCCAGTTACTGTGTCAAATCAAATTGGTAACAGAAATAATCACGCAGAGTCTGTTTTCAGTGGAAAAGAAACACAGTATTTGGAAGCAGTCTGCTTACTGTGAAAATTGAAATGTGTACCAAAATACGAGGGACCTTCTGGGCAAAAACCTTGCGCGTCCCCCTCTGCCTCTTGGAATCTCTGTTGCTGGCACCCTCACAGCCTCTGGGTAGGCTCATCTCAGATACCGCCACCGCTGCTGCTGCCTGTGGGCCACTGCTGTTTCCGGGTGACTCCAACCAGGACCGTGCCCACCCTGAGGGTGGGGACCTCGGCCTCCACTTCAGGAAGCAGGCACCGCCCAAGCCACACCACCACGGTCCCAGAGAAGCTCACGGAGCTTCCAGAATCCACGCAGCCAGGTCCCTGGCGTCCCTCACCCTCTGCACCAGGCTGTGACCTGGCGGGGGGCCCTGCCCATAGCTTTGCTCTCCTTACCTCCCTCTGACTCACTTGCTGCCTGGTGTCCCCTCCTGGTCCCCCTCTGTCATGTGGCAGCTCCTCCCAAGCATGGCCATCTCAGGCGGGAAGGGGCAGCCGGGAGGCAGCTCTGGCCACCTCGCCATGCTCTGCTCCTCTGAGGCCCCGTTTCCTGTGACATTGACCACGTGGCTGTAGAACACACCATGGTTCACCCTCACTCCGGCCACAACTCATGCCTCCCCAAAACCCGGCCCTCTCCCCCAGAGCAGCTCTAAGTTCACCATCTCCCCACCCACACGGGGTCCCCAGCAGGTCGAGGCCCAAGGCTCGGCTCCTCTAGCCCACAGCAGGGATGGGCAATGAAAAACGACAGTCCAAAGTGCCACAGGGCAGAGCAGCCACTGGCCACAGAAGTTCTGAATCCTGTCCACCAATGACCTCAACCCCCAGAGCCCTGTGAGGTCACTCAGCCATACACAGGGCTGCTGGGCCTGGCACTGGCCTTGGTTGGAGCCCTAGGGCCTGGCTGAGCCCACAGCTGAATGCAAACCAGTGCCTACCGAGCACGGACAGGGGCAGCAAGAAGTCCCTATGACTCCTTCAGCCCTGGGGCCAGGTGTGGGCCACCCCCACCAGTGACAGCACTTGCTTCCCATGCGGCCCCTGCCAGCTGTCTGCATTCCCCAGGCCCTTGCCCTGCTCCCCAAGTCCCAGCCAGCCCTGTCTCTGTTCCTTTCCTTCCTGATGTCACAGAGCTGCAGCGTGTCTGGGACACAGGGAGACTGATCAGCATTCCTCATGCGCAGTCTGGGGGCACATGATCACTGGGGGTGCGCCCAGACCAGCCAGGGCCCAGGATTGCAGGAGCAGCTGTGTCTGCCAGGCTTAGGCCACCTTCTCCTGTGGACACCAGGAGGGGAGGGACGGGGCAGGAAGGAGGCCCCTGACATCGGCTGACCAGCTGCTAGCTCTCCTGTCCCTCCACACAGGCTCGGCTTGGGCTGACTCCTGTCCTCTCCCAAGCTTCCAGCGCTTCTCCTGGTGGCCACAGCAGGCTGGGGCAGGGACGGAAAGATCTGAGTGAGTGGACAGGGACACACGTGTCACAGCAGACAGCTCGAGGAGCCCGACAGACACCCTGGAGCTGGCCTGAGGCTGAGAGGGGAGCATCCTGGTGAGAGCAGATGGTGGGCAGGCTCTTCTCAGAGCGACAGTTCCCTGCAGACCGACCAGGCTACTCGCTCAGATGGCAGGTGACGTCCCAGGCCGGGGTCCAACTGCCATCCCTGACCCACAGCAGGCGGGAATCGTCCTGCCCCCACGGCACCCAGATGTCTCCACACCCTGGTTCCGACCACTGAGTGCCCAGTGCCCACCGCTGCCGAACCCCAATCCCTGCCTTCTGAGTGACCCCCGCAGGACCAGGGGAGTGCTATAGTCACTGCCTACCTCGTAAGAAAAGAAAAACATTTAGGCTGAAGAAAATGCTTATATGTAATGTTAAAAATGTCAAAGAGGAGCCGGGGATTTAGCTCAGTGGTTCTTGTTGCGTGTCTCGAAAGTGCAGGATCCTGAGTCTGATCCCCAGTACCAAAAAAAAAGTCAAACATTTTTATCAACACCGTTAGAAAACAGAAGTTCCTATATTTGCACGGAAGGGGCCCACAAAGGCAGAAATATTGGCCCATGGAGCTCTGAGGTCTCCAGCCAGACCCTGTAGCGGGTCACAGTGCACGTATCTCCCAGCTGGGCAGCCGCCGCTCAGCCCCTCCTTCCCAAGGTCCACATTGCCTGGCGGGAGCTGGAATCTGCTTAACCGAGCTCAGGAAAACTGTCTACCGGTCCTAGGTCCCCAGGGGGGGTCCTGCATCAGCCCCTCCTCCGCTCATGACGGGGCAAGTAACTCCCTAGTCCAAGGGAGAGCAGTGAGGGCACAGCCCGTGGCCCAGGGCCGGGAGCCTGCAGCTGACTGTTCTGTCTCCAAGCCCCGGGGTCCTCAGGAGGGCGGGGGAGCTCCCGGGCAGGGTCCTGTCTTACCCATTCTCCTCCTCACTGAGACACAACCTAAAGGAGAAGAGGCTTATTTGGGCCACTGTGTCAGTCTCTGGTCCACTGGCTCCCACGCAGACGCAGCATGGTAGAAAGGTCATTAAGAAAGTGTCCTGCCAGGGACAGGCGAGGGCAACAGACCCTGGCCTGGCTTCTACCGGAAACGTGGGGGTGGGCAGAGTTGCACAGACCACAGGGCAGCAAGACCGGTTCAGGAGGGCAGCTCTGCCCATGGAGAGGCCACATATGCCCAGCCATCACCCCATCCTGAGGGTCCTGCCTGCATCAGGAGCAAGGGCACAGGTGGAATGGGGCATGGCACCTCCCAGCCCTGTACCACACCAGCCTGTGTGGGACCTGGCTGATCTCAAGGGCTCCGATCAGGTGAACCCCGGAGCCCCAGCACCCTGGTTACCAGGAGGGAACCAGCCTCTCCAGGGCACAGGGAGCCCCATGGCCCCACGTCCCAGCCCAAAAAGCCAATCTGCAGGTCGATGAGCACGAAGGCCAGGAGCCCACACAGGAAGCATCTGCCTCATGTTGGGAATTCCGTCCTGAGCCAGTCCCAGAGGACTCAGGCTCCGTGGCCTCCTGTCTCCTCGGCCTCAATCCGTGGAAAATCCTGTCCTGGGTGGGAGCAGGCAGGGCCAGGCCAAAGGAGACCTGAGAAGGTCCCAGCTGTCGACAGAGGAAGACAGGAGCAGAGGACAAAGGAGGCGCTGGCTGGAAAGAGCGAGGAGAGGCAGCCAGCTTCTATCCCACAATCGAAGGAAGGACGGTAAGAGGGGTAATTAGCTAATGGAGCACAGGACGGAGGGCGACACAGTGCAGGGCGGGGCCCGAGACAGGGCGTCTGTGCCTCACATACTGATCAGCCTGAGAGCTGGCTTGTGGGGAGCAAAGTGGACGCCCTGAGCCCGGCGTGTGCTGACCCGGCTGCCACTCAGGGGCTGCGGGCCTGGAGGTCGCCCCGCCTCCCACAGGGCCCCCAGGACCTCCCACCGGGGCCAGGCCTTCTCCCCTTGGAAAGGGCTGGGGCCTCCCGGCTTTGGGCTGCCTCGCTGCTCTTCCGTGCTGCGGGGAGTGGTCAGCAGCACCCCAGCCCCTCAAGACAGCGGCTCCAGACACAAAGTGTGACCAGAAGCCGTGCGCAGGGCTCACGGGGAAGAGGAGGTTGGGCTGTCTGCCCGCCTGGGGGCACCGGGGTCAGGCCTAGGGTTGGAGTGAGGAGTGGCAGCCCGGAGCTTCCCAGGCGGCATGGACCCCACACACTGCAGAGTGGGACGGGTCAGGACCACAGGGAGCCCACAGAGCCAGGCACGGCCATAGGACAGCAGCTGCGGGAAACAGCGTGGGCATCGTCGCAGGCCGGTGGGGTCTGGCACACACTGTGGGAGCCCAGACACAGGGTCACTGGGGTGCGGATCCCCACACACGAAGACTCGCACGTTTCAGAAGAATAAACAAAAGTAATTCAGATGGGAGGAAACAGCATTGCTGGCCCCTGGTGGTTTCTCAGGGGCAGAGGTGGGAGGTGCAGCCTGGAGGAGAGACAGCGGCATCCAGCAGTCGGAGCGGGAAACAGACCGGGCCAGGACGAGGATCTGGGATCCTGCAAGTCCGATGGGGAAGACAAGCCTCGGGAGAGCAGCTGCCTGCCTGGCATCCAGAGTCGGCTGAGCACAGTCAGGCGGCTGCTTCACACTCCCTCCTCCCGGGACACGGTGGAAGGTGCCACGCCTCCGCCCTGGCATCCCCGCTGGGCGGCACTGCGCTACCATGCTTGTCTCTGCCGCAGGGCGGGCCTGGACCCTCAACATGCACTCGGGCCTTGAGGGCCCAGCAGCTCTCCGGGCTGGAAAGGCCAGGGAGATCTGCTGAGCCTCATGGATGGCCAACAGACCAGCTTAAACATTTGTCATGATTAACGTTGACCTCAACGCTAGAAAGTCCAGGGGAGGGTGGCTTCCGGTAAGAGGTGCCCAGGTTCCAGTCACAACGCTCTACAAATCTCAGCTACGCAGTGCACCACGTGCCTCCTCTGCTCTATCCTCCAGGCGGCTTCCCTCGTGGTATCAGAGTAGCTGCAGCCATTCCAGGATTGACATCCCCAGCCCAGACCACCCAAGAAAGAGCGCTTCCCTTCCAGACTTGCAGTTACAGACCAGGAGGAGGCTGGGCTGCTTCCCCTGCTGGGGGTGAGTGTGCCCAGCAGGGGCCTCTGGGGTAAGGCAGCGTTCAGCCCAGCCCGGGAGGCGACCCAGCTGCACCCAGACCCTCCCCGACAGGTGAAGGTGCTCCTCACCCTCTCCCGCAGTCCCAGCCCTGGGTTGCCCAGCCCTTGCCCAGAGTTCCAGCCTCGGGGTCACCGGCCAGCAGGTGCCACCATCCTGCACCCTACCACCTGCATTCCGCACACTCTGACCTGCTCCCCTGCAGGCTGTGCACGCTGTGCCAACGCCTCCCCACGTCACAGGCTTGGCTGCCGATGGTTCTGGGGAGGCGACCTGGTCAGCGGAGGGTCAGGGGTGGATGCGGTGTCTGGAGCCACGGAAATCTGTGCCTGCCTGACCCTCCCTCCCCACCTGTCCCTGGCCCTGTCCGCTCCCGGCCACCCACAGAGATCTGAACCCACCCGCGCCATGCCACCTTTCCTCCCACAGCGGTCTGCAGTTTGCGTCAGGCACTGTGGCGGAGGAGGAGGAGCGCTGACACCCTTGGGGCTGTCTGGCCACTTGCACCCTGCAGAAAGCAGCTCTGTGTGCGTGTGTTTAGCACAATGCCAGGTCCAGAGAGGCCTTGAGAGGAGGGAGGAGCGGGCCTGGGCCCCAAGGTCGTGGCACAGACACCAGCGCAGATGCCAAGGAGGAAGCGGGCGGAGGGCACACGCAGCGCTGCACCACACTGAGGGAACCGCAGGAAAGCAATCAGGTTAGCGCGGCCCGCCCAGGAGCCGGGATCCAATTAGGCTGCCCGGCCTGGCTGGGGCTGCAGAGCGGATGAGGAAAGGATCTGGTTTCCAGCTGAGCACGGTGCCTCCTCAGGGAGTGCCCCGGCAGCTGCCTCCACCTGGCACCGGCAGGCAGGGAGGGAGAGAGGGGAAAGGGAGAGCCGGAGAGGGGCGGTGTTTGAGAAACTGAAGACGTGTTTGGAGAAGAGCTCTAGAAATCTCTACCTGCGAGCTGCCAGGCCAGCGCCCTGCTGTGCCCCTCCTGATCCCCGGGCGGCTCCACTCCCCAGCAAAGGACCTTGGTGCTGCTCTCTACACACGGGTGTGGCCACATACCGGTCCAGGAGCACGCTGATCCTAGGGTCGGGCTGCACTCCTCTGGCTCAGTAAGGGTCCTCTGAGCCCAGTCCAGGCCAGGGCTGGGCTGCCGTGGGCTGCTGTTTGCAGATCTGGGATCTCGGACGCTACCAACCTGGTTTTAAAAGCCAGACCAGACTTGAACACACTTCTGGGGAAGCGCAGATGACCACTTGGGCCCCCAAAACCCCAGTGGGTCACAGAATTTGCCCCCAAACCACATTTCTAGTCTCCTGGACTCCCCGGCTGTACTGGGAACACAGGCAAAGGCACGTGTCTACAGTGATGGCCGCTGTGCCAGTCATCAAAGCCAAGGTCGTGAGCATATCCACCCCAAGGGCTTTCTGCTCTTGGGGTTTCCTTCCCAGCCCCTGCCGGCACCTGGGGTAGCTGCCCTGTGCTTCCAGCCACTGGGGAGACACCTGTACTTCCAAGAGTCTCATACACATGGAAGCCACAGTTCCTGCACATGTGGTCTGCTTCTGTCACGAGCACCATTACCCTGACGCTGTGTCCCCATTGTGGAGATCAGAATGGCAGCCCTTTTCATGGCTCCAGTGTTCTGCTGTAAGGCCAAAGCTGTTTATCCATTTAGCCCCCGGGGGGCTGTGGGCCGGCTCTTGTTTACTGGTTCATCCACTGGTGGGTGTTCTGTTTAGTCTGTTCACTCGCTCACTGATAGGCACTTGTTTCAGCTGCTGGGAACATCCACTCCTTTCCTGGGGGGAGGCCCAGGAGAGGGGGGCCAGGGCACAGGGTAGATCTTCCGCTTTTGAAGGAACAGCTACCTGTTCCCACTGGGGAGTCACATTCCCACCTCGGCGAATGATGACACTGCACCCTGGTCAGCACTTACCGAATTTCCTGTTTTCCGACCATTTGGGTGGGCATGTGGAGCTAGCACACTGGGGTTTTAACTCGCCTTTCCCGGTGAATGGTGACAACTTTGCATGTATATACTCTCCATAGATAAAATCTTTGCTTTTTTCCCCTAATATAGTTTTTCTTTCCTAAAATACTTTATTTTACAGCAGTTTTAGATATAAGGAAAAAATCATGCAGCTGGCAGAGTCCTCACAGAACCCATCCCAGTTCCCAGTGTAACATCTCCTGTCAGTGAGGTATACTTGTCATAGCTAATGGACCAAATGGAGACACTGCTAGGTTTTGTTTTTGTTTGTTGTTATCATTTTGGTGGGGGTTTTTTGTTGTTTGTTTTGGGCCCTGGGGATTGAACTCGGGACCTTGCACTTTTGAGGCACGTGGCGGAACCACTGAGCTAAATCCCTGGCCCCAGTTTTGGTTTTTGTGTGTGTGTTAGTTTGAGACATGGTCTCACTATGCACTCAGGCTGGCCCTGAGTACACTAAGTAGCCCAGAGTGGCCTCAAACTTGCAGCGATCCCCCTGCTTCAGCCTGCCAAGAGTTAGGATTACAGATGTGCACCACCATGCCCAGCTATGGCTAAATGTACTTTAGATTTCCTCAGTTCCCCTAGAGTTCTTTTCTTTTCCAAGATCCACCCAGGAGACTGCATCACAGCGAATCACCATGTCTCCGAGGGCTCCTCTTGGCTGTAACAGCTCCCCACACTTCCCTGACTCTGATGATGACCTTGAGGGTCTTGAGGACTGGGGGTGTTTTGTAGATGGCCCCTTCCCTGGGATCTGCTGAGGCCCCATGCTTTCTTTGAGTGGACAGGGGTTCTGGGACTTTGGAGAAGACCCCAGAAGTGACCTGGCCTTGCCATTATGTACCAGGGGGCGCAGTCAGCCCGACTCAACACTGCAGTGTGGACCTGGACCACGGTGACTGTTTCCCCTTCCGTGCTCTGGGAGGGGAGTCAGCCCCAGCTTCCAGTGCAGGACCTGTGTGCACCAGGCGGGGGCCTGCGGGTTTGCCTCTTCTCCACTCACTCTGCACGCTACTGTGCCAGGTACTGTGTCAGGGTGAGCTCGGTGCTATCCTATGCCGGGGTCGCGCTCCAGGTCCCCTCTCTGTTTCTGCTCCAGCCGTGCCAGCCTCGGTGGCTCCTCAGGCGGCCGGGACCCCCGGTGCCCTCAGCGTGGCGTTTCCGGATGCCTGCTTGCTTCCCCTGCCTTCCTCTCTGGCCCAGCAGGGGCTCCGGGCATTTGCTGCCCCTGCCCAGGATTAGCGTTTCTGCTCGGAGCCCGGGCTCCTGGCCCATAAACCGGGTTAGAAACCAAGACGGGATGCGCTCGCTGCTACCCAGAGGCTGGGCGCTGACACGGGGACGCGCGTGCGCTCGCACCTCCGAACCGCACACCGCTCGGAGCCCCCGCGGGGCCACATCGGCTGCGGCTGCACACAAACCGCGCGGGCTCCCGGCCCCGCCGCCCATATGTGCCCCGCCCGGCACTCACTCAAAGCTCCTGCAGAACCCGGGCCCTCCTGCCCGGAGTCGGTCCGGCGCGGCTCGGCCCCTTGAGGAGGTCGGCGCCCTGCCTGCTCCCTCGCGAGTCTGCGTCCCGCGCGGCGAGCGCAGCCAGGCGCCTGTCAGACGCAGATCCCTCCCGCTGAGTTTTGAGTTTGCCTGCACAGGCTGCACCCTGAGCGTGGACGCGGCACGGGGTCTCATCAAGGGCGCGAGGCTGGGAGCCACCGTCACGGACCCACACAGGCGACCTCAGCCGGAAGCGCGCGAGCGCCCGCGGCCCTGAGACGCAGCCGCCTCCGCCCTGAGCACCGCCCCCAGGACCACGTGACCCCGCCTCCTCACGTGACTTGGGGCGTCTGAAGCTGACGCTCACAGGAGTGCGGATCCGCTCTCCGGGTGACCGCGTGGGTGACCGGGTTCTCCTCATTCGGACCTGTGACTGAGGTGACACACACCAATTTCCAGCTGCACTCCTGGACGAACCCCAGGGTCGGGATGGGTTTGCTTTTTCATATGTGAGGCGCAATTTGCTAACGTTTAGCTGAGAATTTTTGCACCTACATCCAACAAAAGCACGAATGAAGTGAGAGGCCTCAAATGTTGCGAGAAAAAAACCCGCCAACCTAGAATCCTAGATCCAGTGGCCTTGTCCCTGGGTGAGAGACTGAAGGCAGTGGGTGGAGTTGTGGCCAGGGGGCGCTGCCCTGGAGGGGCCAGGGGAGCACCTAGCGCACTGCCCGGGGAAACAGATTGAGAAGGAAACAGGCAAAAGGTACCCACTCTGGATCCATTTAAACTACAACTGTTGCTTTACTGTAGAACTCGTAATAGTGAGACATACGTGGGCCAGAGAAGCAAACAGAGCGGCCAACGGTGGAGAGGAGAGCAGAGCTGTAGGACCCGATGAGTGGGTCAGCCGACTGCACGAGTCATGTGGGAAGCGAATTGAGGCGTCTTCAAGCTGGGACAGTGTGGAGTCATGCGGGTGCTCACTTAAACCAGAGGAGGCCGACGTCCAGATCTGACATGCTCCTTCCACCTCAGTCTGCTTCAAAATGCTGATTCCTTAAATGATTTGTTCTCGGACTACTAGGTGTTTGGATAGCTCTGCTTTCTTGTTTCTAAACATTTGGAGATTTTCCAGAAATCTTTGTGTTCTTGATGCCTAGTTTATGTCCACCGTGGTCAGAGAACACACTTTGGGTGAATTTATTCCTTTACATGAGAATTGCTTGAGGGCCCAGACTATGGTCTGTTTTGGTAAATTTTGTGTGTACAGTGGACAGCATGTCTGTTCTGCCATTGTTTGGTGGTGTATTCCATAAACGTTGATATGGGTAGTATCTTTCAAGTCTTCTCTACTTTTGCTAGGGTTGATGGCTACTTGTCTCCTCAAGTTTTGTTGTTGTTGTTTTTTGGTACCAGGGATCAAACTCGGGTCCTTTCGCTTTCGAGGCAGGCAGCGGAACCACTGAGCTAAATCCCTGGCCCTGTCTCCTTAAGTTTTGAAATGGGATCCTGGTTGTGATCTCTGACTATAATTGTTGTGTTGTCTCCTTACAGTTCTGGCAGTTTTGCTTCTTGTGTTTTGAAATTTTGTTATTGGGTGCATACATGTTTAGAATTGAGTTCTCTTGAATAGAGCTCTCTAGTACTGTGAAATAATCAGTCTTCTTTATTCCTTAGTGTCCCTGGCTCTGATATCTACTTTGATACTGCAGTCACCCCCTGGGCAGCTTCTGAGCAGCGTTGTCATGGCGAGTATTTTCCCAGCCTTTCATTTTTCATCTATTTTTGTCTTTAATGTGCTTTTTTTTGTCAGCACCACATGGCAAGATCCTGCTTTCTCCGTCAGTCTTACAAATTCTGCCCCAGTTTGAGCATTTGGTCCATCAGAACATCAACATGATTATTAATTCGGTAGAGTTAGACCTGCCGCCTTGCCACCTTGTCTTTATTTGCCCCATGCGCTATTTTCCCCCTCTTCTTCTACCATCTTTTGGGCTGAGTTTTTTTTTTGTTTTTTTTTTTTTTGGTACTGGGGATTGAACTCAGGTACTTGCACTTGCGAGGCAGGTGGTGGAACCACTGAGCCAAATCCCTGGCCCTGGCCTGAGTTTTTAATTGCATTCCTCTTCTTTGTTGGCTCACTAGCTGTAATGCCTGTTTCCTTCCATGTGTGGATGGATTTATAGCACACACCCTCAGCACAGTGGTGTTTTGTACAATGGTATGTTCCCACTCCCAGCCTTTACACCAGTTTACATTTTACATCTCCATTTGTGATAAACCTCACAATATGCCATTCATTTTTTTTGTTCTTTGTTTTGCTTTAAGCAGTTGGTTGTCTTTTAAAGAGATTTTAAAGTGAGTTTTCAAATGTGCCCGTACCTTTCCCATTTCTGGTTCTCCACCCTCTCCATGTCCCTGCAGGCTGTCCCCTGTCTGAGAGGCCTGAAAGTCCCTGCCCCTCCTCTTTGGAGCTCTCTCCTGGGGGTGGAATGCTTGGGCGAGCTGTTTACCTTGGCACTTCAGAGCCCAGTCGTCCTGCTGCTCCCTACCCCACTGCTCCCGAAGAGAAAGCCAGGCTTTCCTTATCCCTGCTCAGTGACTAGGCCCCTACTCCCTCTGGCTGGTTAGCTTTACTCCTCGTCCCTGGCGGTGGGTGCTTGACCATGTTCCTTGGGTAATATTCCTCGCTGTAGTGGTCTTATTGAGATTCTTGGGTCTGTGGGTTTATATGATCCAAATGTTTGTTTTACTCCCCTTCCTGCACTTTGAAGGATTTTTTCTTTTGTGCTGGGGATTGAACCCTCCCCCAAGTTACAACATGGCCCTTTCTATTTGTTATTTTGAGCCAGGGTCTTACTAAATTGCTGTGCTGCTCAGGCTGGCCTCCAACTTGCAGCCCTCCTGCCTCGGCCTCCCACACCTGGGTGGAGGTGAAATTCCTTTAAATCCTTGCAGCCTGGACCATCACAGCACCAAATGCTTAAGGTTGTAAGGCTACTTCCTGGCCTCATGTTGGGCAGCCATCTCCGCATCCTGCCCAGAGTCAGTGTGTGCTTGGCTGTCCCTTCTGCTGGCTCAGGAACGCGTAGACACCCAGGGCTGCGCCTCTGTCCCCTGCGCAGCTGATTCCCACACAGCTTTGTGTCAGTTTTGTCCCAAAGGTGCTTTTTTTTGATACTGGGGATCGAACTCAGGACCTTGGGCTTGTGAGGCAGGGGGCGGAGCCACTGAGCTAAATCCCCGGCCCCAAAGATGCTTTTGAAATTGCTGTGTCCGTGTCTGGCGGCATTGATGATCCCGCCATTGGCAGCACAGTCCAACTTGGACATTGATATGTTTTTCGGGTGTTGTGTGACTTGTGCGTGACTAACCCTGGTTGGGACAGTGGGTGACCCACCACTGTCCTGCTGTGGTAGCTTAGTTTAGCTTAGTTACGATGAGAACGCTGGCAAAGCTGCCCAAAAGAAAATAGCCCAGTGTTAGGCATTAACTTGAGCAGCTGGTTAAGCTTAGAGTGGCAAAGGTGAACAAACACCAGCAGGATAACAACACACAGGGAGATCAGGACTTTCCTCGAAGGAAGATGTGCTGGGTTGGTTGGCAGCTGCTCCTCACCTGGACCGGACTTCAGCTGCACTGGAGAAGACGTAAAATGCACAGGAACTGGGTTCCTTTGAACCCATCCTCTTTGCAAGAGGCCCTGCACTCCGCCTGTCCAGACAAGGCTGAGACAGGCAGGGCTGCTGGGCCTCCCTCCTGGTGGGTGTTTTTTCTCACTATTATCTCTAAATAATAATAACAATAAACATTTGCCTAAATGCCTCCCTTTGTCCTCAAATGTGTTCTTCAGTTTTGGGAGACAAAGAACTTGGGCTTTGACAAAATTTACTGTTTTCCTGCGCTCGGGTCCTTGTGCCCCCATGTCCCGCAGCGTTCTGTCACCTGGTGTTTATCCTCAGCGGTGAACGTGGGTCCCTTTTTCCAAAGCCCGAGCTCCGTCCTCTGATGAATAACTGATCAACGTGGATTGGTGTGGGAGACCAGGATCTTGGCCCAGGCCCAGGGCGTGGCTTCCGTTTATTCACTGATGTCTGGAAAGTTTTGTCTCACTATGGATGTTCTGTAAGTTCCTCAGTTTTACTTCTGAGTACCTCACCTCTCCTCTGTCCCTCTGTCTGCACCGCACATCTCTGTGTTGTCACCTCGCCCATTTGCCAGGGTTTCACCCTGTGGCTGCCCTGTTCTGCAGCTACTGGCAGGAGTGGATTTGCAGCCCTGACACTGGCACCTTGCCCCGGCATCTCCTCTGCACCCCACAGAGGGCTGCACGGAGTCGGGACCCCAATCCCAGTCCCCATGCTGGGCCCTGTGGTCACCTCCTGGTGGACGGACGCGTCTCGGGCTGTGCGGGGCCACACTGCTCAGTGCTGCCCAGCAGGGCTCTCACACCAGGGCGAGGGGCGCCTGGGGTGGCCCCCCGGACTGGAGACACACACAGGCGTGCGGCCAGTGGCCTCTGTCTGGAGCAGAGCTGCAGCAGGGCCTGGGCCTGGCTCTGTCCATTGCTCCTCCGATGGGCGGGGACCTGTGCAGCCCAGCCTCTCAGATCCATGGCCCCTCAGGCACAGCCTCCAGGGTGGGTCCAGGGGCCGGCAAGATGACAGGCTGGGTCACAGCGTGGGTGACAGTGTTGCTGTCAGATGCACAGAGGCCTCCAAGCTGGGCTGGGCCACAGCCTCACTGCTCTGGCTGTTGGAACGGGCACCACCCGCCGAGTCACCAGGACAGGCACAGGAAGTCCAGGAGAGAAAGGGAAGCGCCACGGACCACACCCTGGGTCCCCCTCAGACAGGTAGGCAGTGGAGGGAGCCCCGCTCCCCACCTCTAAGCCAGCCCCTGCTGGGGGACGCTGGGTGCTGGGTGAGCGTGTGCTCCAGCTGCGAGCCCAGGCAGGCCTGCCCGCCTTGGCCGGCTCCTCTCCCTTCCATGGGCCACACCAGCCATCCCAGGTGTGTGTTGGGGGCTCCAAGGCGCCTCTGTGCCAGGGAGCACCACAAGGTGAACAGACTGGAAGCCCCTGCCGGGGTCTTGGGAGGAAATGAGTGAGTGGTCCCTCTGCCAGGACAGACAGACAGACAGCAGAGCCCAGCCCACACCTCTCTGCCCCGAGGCTAGGCAGGAGAAGGCTGAGCAGGGACGGTCTCCACTCTCCACGCGTCCTCCAGGCAGCGGACACACCCGAGCGGCCCAGTCTCAGGGTTGGGGGCCGGGCTGGGCCTCCGCCAACGCCTCCCTCCCGGGCCCGGCAGGGGGACAGTTTGAGGGTGAGTGAGGCTGTGGCTGTCAGTCGCTTTCGGGGGACCAGGGGAGATGGCGACCATCCACACAGCCCCAGAGCACTGCCCCACCCTGTCTCAACACCGCAGGCAGCAGCTCCCGTCCCAGTGCTCCCAGCTCCCCCTCCGTGGGCCCCCCGCCCCCAGGGCTCTGTGGACCCCACTGCAGCGACAGGTGGGGACAAATGCTGGAGGCTCAGCCTGGGACTTCCGCCCGCACTGCTCTCCCGGCCTGGGCTGGTGGCCACCGTCCTCGGAGGCTGGGGAAGCCTGCCTCAGAGCCCCACCCTCTGGCCCTGGGTGGCTCTCAGCCCGGCTCAGACCTCTGTCCCTGAGAGCGGGTAGGAACCAAGGCCCAGCTACTGCACACACGGGGGCCCTACCTGGCCCTCGCCATATCCCAGGGGTGGCCTCACACTGTGCCCTCCCAGAATGACCAGGTCAGGCAGGAACCAGCCTTCTCCAGAGGCTCAGGGGCAGCGTGGGTCCTGCTGTTCCCCTGGCCAAGCTGCAGCTGCAACCATTAACGCCCCGGGAGCTCCCAGGTCCTGTCACCCATCGGACCCTCAAGTCCAGGACAGTGGGTCCCACAGGGCAGGACCCACAGGGCAGAAGGTGGTGAGGACAGCAGTGAGGACAGTGGTTCCAAGGACCCTGGGAGGCCCCGGGAGGATGGTGGTGCCCTTGCCTGGTCTTCACCCCTGGCCGGCCTGTGCTGTGGATGTCAGGACTGAGCCATGGTGGGAGAGACTCACTCAGCTCCCAAGGCTGTGGTCCTGGCCACAGTGCGCCCCGCTCCTTTTCCCCAGTGTCCCCTCTGCCCCTTGGGTCCCGGTTCTGTGCCCCAGTCGTGGCCTCAAACGCATCCCTAGACCCCGTCCCTCGGGCCTGTCTGCTCTGCACGTGTCCTCGGGCTCTGTGGCTGCGGCATCATGTGCCAGCTCCCCAACACCGCCCGATGGAGCAGCGAAGACCCCTGCACTGCGTGTGGGGCCAGGTGGGGTGCGAGAAGCTGCAGGGTGTGCGGCAGGACAACAGCTGATGACACACACACACACACACACACACACACACACACACACTGTGCTGCCCAGGGCTCCGCCAGGGCTTCTCTGCCCAAGTTCCTTGCCACGACAGGTTCAATCTCCCAGTCTCCTGCCTGGGCAGCCTTGTGGAGCCAGGATCCTGTCTAGAGCCAGCACTCAGTGGGCTGTGGCCAGCACCCAGCTCTGAGGGCCAGGGCAGCCCT